TTTTGTGAGAATACACATAGCCAAAGATACGCCATTTCAAAAATTTTTTTTACATTTTTGGTGAAGTTTTTTGATGAGCAGAAGTGTTTTAAGTTTTAGAAGACCCCAGTTATTTAGTTTATCTTATGGAGTTTGTATGTTGTTAGTTATGGTTTGTATCCTGTTAATGCCATGTATTAGGGTCTCTAGCGTTGATCCTATTTTTTCTTCTATGATCTTCATAGTTTTTGGTTTTAGACTTAAGTCTTTGATCTATTTTGAATTAGTCTTTGTGTATTGGTGTGAGGTATGGGTCCTATTTCATTTTTTTGCAGATGGACATCCAGTTTTGCCAGCACCATTTGTTAAAAAGACTGTCTTTTCCCCATTTGATGGACTTTGGGCCCTTGCCAAAGATTAGATGACAGTAGGTGGATGGATTTACTTCTGGGTTCTTGATTCTGTTCCATTGGTCGATGTATCTGTTGTTGTACCGGTACCAGGCTCTTTTGACTACCGTAGCTGTATAATAGGTTCTGAGGTCAGGTAGAACAAGTTCTCCTGCTTTATTCTTCCTCTTCCATAATGCTTTACTTATCTGGGGCTTCTTCCCTTTCCCGTATCAAGTTAATGATTAGTTTTTCCATCTCTTTAAAGAATGTTGTTGGTATGTGGATCGGGATTGCATTGTATTTGTAGATTGCTTTGGGTAGAATAGTCATTTTCACAATGTTGAGTCTACCTATCCGTGAGCATGGTATGTTTTTCCATTTATGCAGATCTCTTGGTTTCTTGCAATAGTGTTTTGTAGTTCTCTTTTTATAGGTGTTTTACATCCCTGGGTATATTTATTCCGTAGTATTTTATTTTTTTTAAGGGGCTATTATCAGTGGTATTGTTTTCTTGATTTCCTTTTCATTATTCTCTTTGTTGGTATATAGGAATCCAACTGATTTTTGTGTATTTATCTTGCATCCTGCTACTGTGCTGAATCTTTCTGTTAGTTCCAGTAGTTTTCTCATGGAGTCTTTTGGGTTTCCCGTATATAGTGTCATATCATCTGCAAATAGGGACAGTTTTACTTTTTCATTACCAATTTGGATGCTCTTTATTTCTTTTTCATGCCTTATTGCTCTCGCTAGGACTTCCAGCCCAGTGTTAAATAGGAGTGGTGATAAAGGCATCCTTATCTCGTTCCTGTTCTCAAGAGGAATGTTTTCAGCTTCTCTCCACTTAGAATGATGTCGGCTGTTGTCAGTCTTGGCACTTTTGACATTTTGGCCAAGTAATTCTTTGTTGGGAGTAGGGAGCTATCCTGTGTATTGTAGGTTGTTTAGCAGCCTCCCTGGTCTCTACCTACTAGATACCAGGCATTGCTAAATGTCTCCTCGAGGGAAAATTGCTCCTGGTTGAAAACCATGGGAATAGATGTATGTTTAACTTTTCTAAGAAGCTGCTAAGGTTTTCCTAAGTGTTTGTGCCGTCTTATACTGCCATCAATAATGTTTTAGACATTTGGCATTGTCAGTCTTTTAGCTATTCTAGTGTGTGTCATTATGGCCTTAGTTTGCGTTTCACTGATGACTTAACGTATGCTGTTCTAGAGTTTTTCCTGTGCTTTTTAGCCATATATGTATTCTCTTTTACAAAGTGTCTATTTAAGTCTTTTGACCATTAAAAAATTTTGGGTTATCTTTTTATTACCGTGTTGTAGCAGTGCTTTATATTTTCTGGATACAAGTCTCTTGTCATATATAACCATTTACCATCAAGTCGATTCTGACTCATAATGACCCCTGGGATTTGAACCTAGGAAGTTTGTTTTCTGTTCTTTGGTTGTTTGTTAACAACTCTGCCATACCACCAATACCATAAGAGAACAGTTTTGTTTTGCTTCCCACTGTACACTTACACCCAATATGGTACACAGTAAAAGTTCAGTAATTTTTCGTTAAGTATAAGAATGAATCTGTTCCCATTAGCAACATTATTGATTTTTCAGTAATTGGCAAATTATTTGGCAACATTTTTGGCTTATAATGTGATGTGATTTCGCGTACTATTTTGTTTGTTTTGCTGATGGTGGTGATTTATTTTATGTTGTTTCTTAATTAGCATTTTAATTTGGAATTGGAAAAGCTAATGGACAAATTTACCTTGAAACTTGCAGCAACACTTAATGATCTTTGTTTAGTCATTGCTTGGTGTTTTATATGTTTTAGAAGCGCAAGAGATATTAAATAAATTAAAGATAGAAGAGTAGTAAATATTTCAAATGTTTTCTTTATTTTAAATGTTTATTTTTTTCTTGTCATCTTTTAAACTTGATTAGAAAATTAAATAGGAGAATGTAATAATCCTGTAACTTGTCCAAAATTTATATTTTGTCAGATAATCTTAATTTTATTTTATTTTCCGTCTTCTGTTTTTTTGTACCTTTACTCCCTCCACAGAGTTCCACTTCTACCCTCCTTAGAAGAATGGAATTGTCGGGACTAAACAAATTTGCCGTTCTTCTTTGGAAGAATCTTACTTTAAAGGTAGGTTGAGCTAGCACGAGGAAATTGTTACAATGGCTGAGAGGCCGTGGGGAAAATTCTGACAACTTGATCACTGCACTTCCGTTTATACTGTTTATTTTATTCAGTTCCAGGGCTGGGGGTATCTCTACTAAATCTAAAGAATACTCACAGAGTGAAATAGTAGCAGGATCACGTGTAGAAAGGGGAAAAAAGACAGTCCGGGGAACTGTTGTTATTATAGAGTGAAGCTGTAAGAAACTTAATATAAAATAATTTATCATTTGCACATTGAGTAATTAACACAATTCTGTTTTTTTTTCCCTCTTCCAGAGGCGGCAATTTATCGTTCTAGGTGTGGAAATCATGCTAACATTAGTATTTGCTGGTACGCTTTTGTTAACACGCCACTTTGTTGTTATAACAAAGTATGGACCTTTGACTTACTCTCCTCTACCCGTCGATGATTTACCTAATTTCCTCAAAGTGCCCATCGTTTTTCCTCTTCCGTTGGAATTGGCTTATGTGCCTTCCAAAAGTACTGTGGTAAAGGGTATCGTTGAACACGTAAAAATGGATTTAAACATCAATTTTAAAGGTTAGAAATTAATATCTTCTTAAAAACATATTTATTAAATTGTTTTAGAAGAGACACACATAACCTTTGTAACTGGGAATTAACTTCCCAAATACAATATTGGAGAACACCCTCATAAACCAAAAAAATCCCATTGCTGTCGAGTCGATTCTGACTCATAGCGACCCTGTAGGACAGAGTAGAACTGTCCCATAGGGTTTCTAAGAAGCAGCTGGTGGATTTGAACTGTCAGCCTTTTGGTTAGCAGCCGAACGCTTAACCACTATGCTACCCGGGCTCTGGACATTTTCATGATCAGGTGTTAATCCTAAATATAATATTACGGGTTTTGTTAAGCTTGAGTATTGAATTCATGTAAAACACGTCCTTATTCGAGCCTGTGATGGTTAATTTTATGTGTCACCTTGGCTAGACTATGATTCCCAGTTGTTTAGTCAAGCACTAGTCTAGAAGTTGTTATAAAGTATGTATATGTGATTAAATTAGTTCTTAAGGAAAGCAGGTTACCCTCCGTAAGGTGGGTGAGCCTCATCCAATTAGTTGAAGGCCTGAAGAGCAAAAAGGGAGGGTGCCCATAGGAATAATCTGCCTCCAGACTATAAATAGATACCTTGCTAGAATTCCTGACTCCCTCCCCCACTGACTGACCTATAGATTTTGAGACACAAGACTGCCTGAACTTCCAGCCTCTCGCTTGACCTACAGATTTTGGGCTTGCCAGCCCCCACGTTCGTGTGAGCCAATTCCTCAAAAATGAATCATAGTCTCTCTCTGTTTGTGTTTCTCTAGAGAACCCTATGGGAGAGCACAGAACAATAATAATATTTAAAAATTAGATAACTGATTTATGTTATTCAAAGTTATTATACTAAGTGTCCAGGCATGGACTAGTAACTTGAAATTTGTCCCCAAAATGGGAGGATGCCAAAAGACCAAAGAAAGAGGGGGGCAACTCCAGTGTGGCAGCGAAGGAGTCTTTATTAGGGAGATTTACATACCGAGGCAAGTGGTCCTAGGGGGCCGCAGGACCAAAGCAGTTGGGGTACGGAGGTTTTATAGTGGTTAAAGACAAAGATGGCTCCACACCAGAGGGTTACATAAGACTGCTTGGAAAACAGCAGTGAACTAACAGAAAGTATGAGGGTGGGCATGTTTGGCCTCACAAAGCCTGTTTTCCCCTTCACTAAGTCTTCCTTGTTTCTGGTTGTAATTTCTTAAACCTGGGTAAGTATGACTCCAGGGGTGTATGATGGTATGTCAAGGGTACACAAAGGCACAGGATAAGCACGAATCTTTATTCTGGATGCATTTATTCAGTGATCAGTTATTTAAAATATTGCTTATATAAAAACATTGCATAAGTCATACATGAATGCTTTAGAGAAGACTCAAGTTATATAAAAATACCAGTTGCCATTCAGTCAATTTTGACTCGTAGTGACCCATGTGTGTCAGAGTACAACTGTTTCCACAGGGTATTCAGTGACTGATTTTTCAGAAGTACATTGCCAGGACTTTTCTTCTAAGACATCTCTGCGTAAACTTGAATCTCCAACCTTTTGGTTAACAGCCAAACTTGTTAACCATTTGCACTACCCACGGGTATCACCATGAATCAGAACCTATTCCATGGCAAGTGGTTTTTCAAGCTATACAGAATTATTCTTAAAGTTCCCAATTCCTCACTTACCCTCAAATTCCTGACTCATTTTCTCACCTCTCTCTCCTGGAGATAAACACTGAGAAGTTTGGTGAGCATCTGTCTAGTCCTCTCCCTGTGCTTTATACACACTCTCTCACACACACGTACACACACACACACACGGATTTATTCAGTCATATTTTTGAAACCTTTTTTCTCAAGGGATTTATTTGAGAGTCCTTGAAAGTAGATGCTATCTCAGAACACTTCTTGTTTCAAAATGAACATTGAAGCAGAAGAATGCAAAATTTCCAGTGATTTATTTTAGTTTATCTTTTAAATACCTGGTTGTTTTAAATTTTTTATTGTGGTAAAATAAAGCATAAAATTTTTCATTTAACTATTTTCAAGTATACAGTCCAGTGGCATTAGTCACACTCATAATGTTGTGCAGCCATCACTCTGTTTCCAACACTTTTTCATCACCCCAAACAAAAGCTTGTTACCCATTAAGCATTAACTGCCCATTCCCTCCTTCCCCCAGCTCATGGTAACCACTAATCTACTTTCTCTCTCCATGCGTTTGTCTGTTCTAGATATTTTATATAAATGGGAACATACAATATTTACCCTTTTGTGTCTGGCTGATTTCACTTAGCATAACGTCTTCAAGGTTCATCATTGTCACAGCATGTATTAGAACTTCATTTCTTTTAATGGTGGAATAATGCTCCATTGTATGTATATACCACATTTTGTTTACCCATTCATCTGTTAATGGACGCTTGGGTTGTTTCCACCTTTTAGCTATTATGAATAAAGATGCAGTGAACATTGGTGTACAAGTATCTGTTTGAGTCCCTGCTTTCAGTTCTTTTGGGTATATACCCAGGAGTAGAATTTCTGGATCATATGGTAATTCTTTTTTAATTTTTTTTATTGTACTTTAAGTGAAGGTTTACAGAACAAACAGTTTCTCATTAAACAGTCAGGACACATATTGGTTTATGACATTGGTTAACAACCCCACGACATGTCAACACTCTCCCTTCTCAACCTTGGAGGACCTTTTTTTTTTTCGGTGAAAATATAAATAGACGAAGATACACCGTTTCAAAAATTTCTACATGTACAGTTCAGTGACATCGATTATGTTCTTCCAGTTGTGCTGCTATTCTCACTATCCTTTTCCAAGTTATTCCATCACCATTGTCTTCAACTCACTGTCCCCTAGGTTTCCCATCAAACCTTTTGAGTTGCTGTTGTCAAGATCATATGGTAATTCTATGTTTAATTTTTTGAGGCAATGCCAAACTGTTTTCCACAACAGCTACACCATTTTATACTCCTGAGCAAAGAACTATAGTTCCAATTTCTCAACATCCTCAACAGTACTTGTAATTTTCCATTTTTCTGATAATAGTCATTCTAGTGAGTGTGAAGTGGTATCTCACTGTGCTTTTGATTTGCGCTTCCCTCCTGACTAGTGACGTTGAACGTCTTTTTATGTGCTTATCCACCATTTGTACCTATTGTTTGGAGAAATGTCTATTCAAGTTGTTTGCCCACTTTTTAATTGGGTTGTTTTGTCTTCTTGTATTTGAGGTATAGGAGTTCTTTATAGATTCTGGATATTAAATCCTTATCAGATATATAATTTCCAAATATTTTCTTCATTCTATAGATCATTTCTTTACTTTCTTGATAAAGTCCTTTGATGCACAAATGTTTTTAATTTTTTTAAAAAATATTTTATTGTACTTCAGGTGAAGGCTTACAGAACAAATAGTTTCTGATGAAAGAGTAGTACACATGTTGTTT